GGGGGTCCCACCTGCCCACTTGCTCCTTGTACTTTCTGTTACGGTTCCTGTGAACTGCTGCAGGGTGGGCACAACACATCTCTCTGCTGCTGCTGCTGTTTACACACGTGAACATGTTACATAGGTCAACTCCACCAGTGCTTATAGAATTTCAGTGTTGTCTGTGCCTTGAGCTGGTTTGTAAACGAGACAACAGACACAGGTCCCGCTGCACATTGGTTACCCCTGGCTGGAAGAGAGTTGTTGCTCAGCACAGCCTTGGGAAAACAAAGCAGCATGTGACTGGCTGTGTTAAATATACTGCGAGTAGCAAACACATGATGCCGGTGTTGCCACACACCCTCTGTTGCTTAACAGTGGCACCTAAAAGTGCTTGCTGGAAAAAGGCTAAACAAAACATGGTGGTTGCAGTCTTGAACCTAAAATATTTTCAGTAAACGAATAAATAATCTTTGGCAGAGAAAGTCCTTGAGATTATTTTCTTTGGCTACCACCTGTTTTGAACAATAAAACTTAAACCTATCCCAAAATAAAAGCTCTTCAGCTGCAGAAAGAGACACAATGTACTGACCAGGTTCTCTTCAGTTCTGTGAGACTCTCCAGCTTGCCAGCGAAAGCGCCCCCGTGTTTTGGCATCTCCTCGTGTTTGTTAGCTGAGATGTCCGTGCTGGTGCTCCTGCACGTCCTGCTGTAATGTCACGCCGGGGAGGATCAACAGCCTCGTGTTTTGCGTGCCTCTTACGCAAACCCACTGGGTTTATTCTGGTTCTGTTTGCAATTACACCACGCAGGTTCCTGGGTGGAACTCCACTTCAGCAGCAATGGGAACGGCGGTGGAAGCGCTGTCACTCCCGTGAGCCAAGAGCAAGTACCAGCCTCTCTTTCCATTCACAATGGTGACATGGAGAAAATACTCCTTGATGCTCAGCACGAGTCTGGAAGGAGCAGTTCAAGAGAAAGTTCCCACTGTGACAGGTAAACAGAAGGCTTTGTTGTGAGCCAAGGGAAGGTCGATCACACAAGCTGTTTGTGTGCACGAGAGGCAAAGGCAGATACAGAAGTGCCTACATACGTGTCTGTACTTACACGTGCACATGCATAGATACACGTAGGCACATGTGCAGAGAGGAGGAGAGAGGAAAACTTCGTCTTTAAAAGATTGGTATTTAAATACTAGAGTAATGCTTGGGTAGAAGCCTGTCCTGAAACCAGAGAGAAGTTAGAGGGGAGAGGACTGAAGAAGACTTCTCGCATCTCGTGAAGATGCCATCTTGAGGTTTTGGTGTATCCTGGAGAAGAAGTCCAGCAGCAGCAGCTGAACTTCCCATGGGTCTGCTGCTTGTGTGCAGGCAGCAGCCTTGTTCTAGTAAATAAAATCCTCCAGAGCCATGCATAGCTGTCATCCCGAAGGATCAGTCCTTGTGCGAGCAGCGTCAGTGCTGTTCTTAAGAGCACGTAGTGCTACCAACGCTGCTGCCTGGCATAGGAACGTCCAAGAAAGGTGATAGAGCACCTTGTGTTTTGTAATGAGGTGCATCAGTTAATAGTTCTTAGGTAATTGCTAAAGAATTGTCTTGCTGCTAGTTTATGAAATGTAACAGAATTCTAGAAGTGTAACACAACAAAACAACTTACATCTGTTGTAAATTGTCAGTGTTATTAACTCATGTATTTGATTTTTGGTGGGCTGTGAAGTCTGCAGCCTAAAGTTTATTTAAAAAAAAAAAGGAACTACAGAACTCAAAATAGACAGTAAAATGCAGAACTTCCCAGTCTTGTCTGGCTAGTTCAAATTCAAATCAAACCTCACTTCTATCCATCGTTTGCTGCCCAGTGTTATTTAGTAAGTGACACGGGCCAGGTCGTACAGCCTGACAGGCATAGCTCTGCACTGCTCTGTGCAGCAAGCTTCCTGGCAGCCTGTTGGAAAATCTAAGGTTGGGTAGCTGGATTATATCACCTACTGGCAGATTAATCTCTTAAATTATGATCGGGGCACTACAGCTCTTCAGGAGAACTGTGCATGTAAGCTTCATTGTTGATGGTGTGAACTAAAAGCCAGCCAATGTCATAAAAAACTTAAGAGTTCTTTCCTACTTTTTATCTTTCTTTTATCTTGTTTCTCTTTTTATCAAGCCCTCCTCGTTCCCAGACACCTCAGGACAGTCACAGAGCTTTGGAAATAGAGAGTCACAGCAGTGGAGAAAAGAACAGCTTTCAGGTAAAAACCTCATCTTGCTTTGGGAGCAAGAATTTCTCTCATTGTTTGAAAACCAGCATCAGGAAATAAGAGGTGAAGCTGCTCACCTAGAGACTTAAATAACTTAATAACTTCGAGTAATCTTTGCAGAATCTGGCTTTGTGTGTTTGTGTCTGGTTTGCATGGATTTATTTATTTTTTTTAATCTGTAACCTGAGATTTTTCAGAAGGATTTAAATGCCCTTATCTATTGTCTTTTAAAGTGGCTGGTTCTCAAATGCCTCTTTGCAGCCACAAGGTGAAAAGGCCAACCTTCAGGTCCTCCCAGTAGCTTTTAGGGAAAAGATAAGCCAGAAGATAACCACTAGTCTAGAATTCAAGAGAGCTGGAGTCAGCACCTTGCTAAGCCTCCAGCTTCTGGTGATCCTGAGAGGTGTTCTCTGTCATGGTTTCACTTGTCCTGTGAAGTGGGTGTTATTCTTCCCTGCTCAATAGGTTGATTGTGATGTAAGTGGAACAGATTGTGAGGAAATGGATGCATCCATAGGGTGGGTGTATGCACGGCTGTATAGGTGAACATTCACGTTCTGGGGACATCTTGCCATGCAGAGGTGTCCTCTTCCCCCTTTGTCTGTCGGCTTGGTGCATTCCATGCAGCCTTGACAATGAAATTTTATTTAAATGTGCTACCACTAGTGCATTAGGAATCGAAAAAGTGAATTGGACAGCAGCAAGAATTTCTAGAGTCACTTAAACGTGGCAGCCCATGCAAAGCACTGCCATGGCTTTATGATTCCAGTTCGTTTTAACAACTCAGTACTTCACATTTCTACATGCTGCTTTGAAAAAGTCACTGTTATTTCTTTCTGTACATTTCTTCTTGCAGAGAAAATTAGTAAATATTCTATTAGTAAATAGAAAAGAGCGGGGGGAAAGGACACAGTACATTAACAATGTTGTATCACTGTACAGCTTATTGTGTGATGCCAGGCTGAAATCTTAAGTCTTTGCTGTAGTTGCATGCCAGCTTTAACAGGAAAAAACTTAAAACCTTTTGAGGAGTGAAGTGTTCAAAGCATTTCAGTAAATTTCTGTGCTTTTCCAAAGACTTGCTGTATTGTCTTGGGTAAGTCAGTCTCCCTGTGCTGTGTACGTACAAAGAAATGCTGTTTTCCTGTTAAATTGAAATACATTCCGTGCCTGTGACCAATTCTTACAGGGTTAGCAGTCAGCAGTTAGAAATCAACGTTGTGTTTCACCTGGAGCCTCTGCATGACACCAAACAGCAGTGTGTGCTAAACTGGTGCAAGTTACCAGCACTAGCAGCTACTCGTGTTCCAACGTGCAGCGTTATTTCTGTAGTTCCAGTAAGAACTCGGGGCCTTTGCATCTTCCTTTATAAAAAACTGATTTCTTCCACCACCTCCCTTCTTCAGTTACTATTGTTTGTCATCTGTAGCTGAGTGTGCACTGGGTGTTATCATCTCGGAGTCTCCTTGACTTCCTTCAATGTCTCTATTAGTTCATTTTCTGCCCAGTGTTAGGATTTTTTTAAAACAAAGTCCCTGTGTTTGGTGTTTGTGCAGTGTTGAACCTTGTGGGGTTTCCACTTCGTACAGTCACACAGCTGAATCAGTAACACACGGATGTGATCCAGCTCTCCAGCTCCTGCAGGAACCTGGGTGAATGAATTGCCACCCTTAAGTTCGCTGAATATGTTACTGGAGATTAATTGGTTTTATTTGATAGTTCCAGGAAACCCTTCGTATGTGTAAAGATCATTATTTAGAGTTTGAGAACAAACAATCAAAAGTTAGAAAGCCATCAGGATTGAAGTTGCCTGGACAATTTTATTTCCATCCTTAAGTGTGTATGTGTGCGTATGTGGCTATTTTAATTCTGTCATCAGGTACTATTTTTATCACAGACCTTGGCTCCATTTCATGCACATGTGTTAAGCAAGAAACTATCTTCTTCTGCAGCATTTGTGCTGTAATTCAGCTGAAAACAAAGCCACTGTTTGTTTGGTGGTTTGTTTTCTGCACAGATGTGTGCAGGCAGACCTGGGCTTGCTTCCCCTGTGTTCCCAACACTGGCCCAAAAGCCAGGTGGCCTTATGAGACTAGAATTAGTTTTGCTTGGCTTGTATTAGCTTGATGGAGGACCTTCAGGTGAGCTTAACATCCATTCGGTTTTGAGTGCAGGCAAAAAGTTTCTTCTGCCCAATGTCAGTTAGATGTGTGAACTGGAGATATTTTCAGATCCTGTGTGCAAGGATTAAGTGCAGGGCACTGGCATCGTGTTTCCAGGGTAGTCTTTACTCAAGCAAATATGGGATATGGATATGAGATGTGATGTTTTAGTGAGTCTAGTGTATGGTCTTAGATGCAGAAGAGGAGCTTTGTTTTGCAGTACTGACTTCCTGCCTGTTGTAGTCCTCAGTAGTGTTTGATAATGGTTTTGTTTTAGTCTGAAGAGGATTTTCTGGAAAGGAGAAAAGAAGTAGAAAGGCTCCTGAAGAAAAGTGCAGATTGGATATGGGATTGGTCCAGCAGGCCAGAGAACATCCCACCAAAGTGAGTACTGTCTGTGTTTCTGGATGACCTCAGATGCAGCTTTTGCTTCCACAAGTCTAATTATGTATCTGTTAATAATCTGACTGTGTTTTCTTCCTCCAAACCAGGGAATTCCTGTTTAAACATCCCAGGCGCACAGCTACTCTCAGCATGAGAAATACCAGTGTAATGAAGAAAGGGGGAATATTCTCTGCGGAATTTTTGAAGGTTTTTCTTCCATCTCTGCTGCTTTCTCATTTGCTTGCCATTGGACTCGGGTAAGTTTCAATTAAAAAAAAAAAGGTAGTGCTTTTTTTTTTAACCTGTTTTCTCCAAGGCCTAATTCTGACTCTGGGTTCACTCTGTCTAAAAGATGAGTAGTACGTTTTTCTCCACAGAAGGGCACAGATAGTTATTCAGGAAGTGCTTTCTACTTGTCTGCTTGTGATATTGCTGAATGTATCAAGTTTTCCATTTCTGCTCTTCTCATCAGTAGAGAATTTTTCCAGATAATTAAGGGGCAGTGAAATTAGGAGTTGCATGTATGAGCTATAGTTGTACTTACACAATACTTAGTTCCATTGGAGATACGACTTTCAATCTCACAACTAGTTGCAAAGGAAAAAGGTATTATTTAATATATTTTAAAATTCCACTCACACCTGGAAGGGACGGGGACACCAAAGGAAACAAGAATTGGGTTTTCTTTAGATGGTTTAGGAGTTAGATGATCCTCCTTTGAAAACAGCTACAGGACACAGACTAAAGGGTAGGGATTACGTGCCTTTGAGTCAGGATCAGAGTTTGCCCGTGCCAAAGCATGGCAGATTCCTCGATATCAGCAAAGAATACAGGGAATCCGGGCACGTCTGGCCACTTTCCCATCAGAGTACGCTGTGCCACGCAGGAGGGCTTCAGGGCGAAGTCAGGCAAGTTCTGGGATGACACCTGTTTTCCAAGGAACCTTCCGTTAGCTTTGCTCCTGCTCTCTCTCTGCTCGCTCCCTGGCATAAATCCTGAACCTTATGGAGGCTGTGGAAGTTGAGAGCAAAGGGATGCAAGAGGTTGAGGGGAAGGGGAGGACTGTGTGCAGCTGCAGTAACTGGCAGGAGGGACAGCCCAGATCTTCTGTGGTCCCTGTGGCATGCATCGTTTTGGATGGGTGAAGGCACCGGTCGTCTTCCTGTACAAAATCAGGATCTCAGCCTCAGAATACTGCAAAAGTAACATGAAACTAATTTAACACCTCCCATAATTAAAATGAGTAACTGCACAAGACAGAATGGAAGTGTAATGGAATTTTCCTTTTGAAATAAACTCAAGTTTGGTGATGTGAGTACTTACTTTCTTCCTAGTCACTTCCACTACTGCTGTAAATTTGCAACCTTCCATTTCCATAAAGAGGGAGTAACAAAGTCACGTTCAGGAAGTGCTTAAAGTAGTATCAGTGACATAGTTACACTTCAGATTAGTAATTTCTTTAGGCTACAGGAAGGTGCAATGCAGGGCAGCTGTGGAAGCACACCAGGCTGGGAAATGGCGACCAGAGAAGTAGGAACAAGTACGGGCAGATGGCAGTGAAATGAGAGATTTTCACCTTTCAGAGGTGTTTAGCAAATGGAAGAACTTCAGATAACAGAAGAGAAAAGGTCATAAACCATCTGACTTTGAGGCCACCTCCTGTTAACCCCGTACTGACCCCTGACTCTCACGTTGCTGACGGTGAGCAGCTCAGAGTTGTTCAGCCCTGGCACTCGGGGAGGGCTGTCAGAGTCGCTGCCAACTGAAAATCCCCGCTGCTGGGCTCGCCTGCTCGATTGCAGCTGGCAGTGCTGCCCCTGCTGGAGATGGCATCACTGGTAACCTGGTGAGGGGCAGAAAGCGCCCCGTACGTGTGGTACCTTCTTTTTGAAATGACACGCAGTGCTCACTGCCCGTGTGTTCCCCATCCTCAGGGTTTACATTGGAAGGCGCCTCACGACCACGGCCTCGAGCAGCACGTTCTAAAGCACCGGAACCTCGTTTGAAAGCAGAGAGGAAACTCGTCTGGGCAGAGGAGGTGAACAGAGCAACGCCTGAGCTCGTGATGGCTGCGTGGTCAGCGTGTTCCTGTTCTGTGGATGTTGTGTTCCTGGCTTAGTCGGAATGGGAAAAGTTAGTGTATCGTATGTAGTCCTCTGGATCAATCCATAGAGCACGTTCAGATGCGTTCACATCCGTTCCTGCTTTGTAGTGAAGTACCTTTGCAAATCAAGAGCTCAATGTTTAGGAACAGTTCTCGCTTTAATGTAGCGGTTGTGATTCAGCTCCAGCGTTCATCGGAGCTGCTGTTTCCTTTTTTCCTTCGTAGATGTGAAAATATTCATCACTGCTGCTTCAGTAACAACGGTGAGGGGTTCGCCCAGAGCAATGTGTGGCCTTATGTATCAGATACAGGAATTGAGGAGCTGCATTACCTCACCGAGGCAGTTTCTCCCTTACTTCGGTTTCACTTTGTGCTCTTCCACTTTTGTGTGAGATGTGGAATGCTGAGACACAGTCAGCTGGGAGAAATTAGCACGAGTTACACTTCCATCAGTTTTCACTAGTTCAGAGTGTGATGCACAACAGCCTGACTTAAAATTTGGACTTTAGTGCCTAATAAACAGCTGCTTTTGCAAAGGTGTTTCTTTAACTCCTCGGTTACTAGAAGTCCCTTCTGTTGTATCTACTTGCAGACTATGGCTTCTCAGTCTTTTTATCTGTAAAATAATGAATTTGCATCTTACATTTGCTTCATCCTGGTATAGGTTTAAAGAAGTGTTGCTTGCTTGTTTGTTTTTACTAATGGAATGCCTTTTCATTCAGTGATTTTATCTTATTTAATGAGAAAAAAGTTTGCCAAAATACAGTGTTTTATATATTTAAATAAAAACGTTCCTCGTGGATTCAGCATTTTCTCATTCCTTTTTCTCTAATAATCGTTGAAAGTGGCTGACAAGGCTCTCTCTTTAAATGGGTTTCACACTGTTTACTTGTTCAACTGACAAATAAGTTTCTATAGAAAACAACTTCAATGCTTATTCTTAAACCTGACTGTGGCTAAACTGTCAGTAGATGTCACTTGGTAAACAGAAACTCACTGAACTTGCAAATGCACATTCTACTTTGTACTGTCATCGTAATTTAAAAATAAATTTGCTTTTTACTTTCTTTTCGTCTGTATTTAGTAGTACTGACTTTTTCCTCTGTGCTCGAAAGGGAACCTTTGAAAACATGGTGAGTGGGCACCTCCTGACACCATACAGAGCCCATGTCCTGGCATCAGGGGGTGCCAGCACCGCTGCGGTGCTGCGGCACAGTGAGCTCCAGCCCTGTCCTGCGGGATCTGGCCAGAGGGACACATGTGCTTCGCCCTCTGGGGCAGCATCCTGCTGAGGCCGCTGGAAATTCACCCTTGCATGAATTTAATGATGTGCACAAGAAGACCAGGAGATGTCTGGTTGTTTTCCTGTATGTGAAATTACAGGATTATTTTAATTTCTGAATGTTTTCCCTATTTGGCATTGGACACAGATTTTTTTAAATCTGACTGCAGGCAGACTTGAACCACAGGGTTCCACCAAAACAGTATTAAAAACGGGTCAGAACGACTGACTGCTGCCGCCTCCTCTGAAAAGCAAGGTTTTATAGGATCACATCCAAATACAAATAAAAGATTCCTTACAAATACTGCAAAAAGCCCAACAACTGGTCCTTGAGTCACAGCAGGGAGAGGGGGAAGTGTTCTGCGAGCTCCAGTGTGTTCACCTCAGCCAGGGCTCACTCTTGCTGTTCCCGTTGTGTCAGGTGTTGCTTGTTTACTGGAAGCGAAGATGCACCAGCAGGTCCCTGGTTCATGTTCTGTTACGACTGGTATTTTTAACAGAGTCATGGAAACTGTTAAAGGCATCTCAGGATTACTCTGAAGCAATAATCACTCGAGTCCTCCTCTCAAAACGTAACGGCATGAAGGTATCTTGTGAATACAGGAACCACGTCCGTCCTTGTTCTTGTCTCCTTTGTCTTTTTAAACACAGAAGCAAAGAGCTCCCATGTGGACAGGAACTTCCTGAATAATTATTCAGCATCAGAGAGGCAGAAATCCCTGAGCTGAAGCAGTTCTCTGAGCTCCTGCCTTACCACCCTTCTTCGATCCGAGGCTGGAGCCGGATGCTGGAAGCCAACGTGGGATCAGAGGCAGCCAGAGCGGAGCATCGTGGTGGCAACTGGAGCCACCCCAAGGCTGCCCTGACAGCCTGGGCTCCCCACTGCACCCTCGTGCTCCGTGTAACGGCCGTCAGAGATTATTGCAGCACAACCAACAGCTGTTTTGTAGAGTTAAACCGTGTTATTTGCATGTCGTTACCTGTCACAGCTGCTGAGAAACATTTCTAATTTACATTGGTTAATTAGATGTTGAAATAAATAAATAGCACATTGAAAGCTGGAGAGGGACTTTGGACAAGGGTGTGTAGTGACAGGACACAGGGAAATGGCTTTAAACTGAAAGAGGGGAGATTTAGGTTAGATCTAAGGAAGAAATTGTTCCCTCTGAGGGTGGTGAGGCACTGGCACAGGTTGCCCAGAGAAGCTGTGGCTGCCCCATCCCTGGCAGTGTTCAAGGCCAGGTTGGATGGGGCTTTGGGCAACCTGGTGTAGTGGAGGGTGTCCCTGCCCATGGCAGGGGGTTGGAACTGGATGATCTTTGAGGTCCCTTCCAACCCAAACAATTCCATGATTCTATGATACTTCAATTTGAAACGAGAAGTGCTTTATGTTATAGCACCTTTTTTTTTTTAATTATTATCTTATCAGCCCCCCCCCATCCCTGGGGATGACCAGAGGGTGTAGCAGCCCTGTGCAGCGCCCAGCCCAGCAGGTCAGCACAGCCCAGAAAACCCCTCGCTGAACCTTCCCTAAAATTGTTGTGGTCAAACAAGTGAGCGAAAGCAAAGAATCCGAGACAGGAACGGGGCGAGGGCAGGTGGCAGAAAAGTCATTTCTCTCTCTTCCCACAGCCATTTGCAGATGGTCAACTTATTTCTCAGCTTAGGCACAATGAATAAGGGTTTAAGAGGTAGTTACATATTTCATCCTTAATTTACATTGATTTTAATTAGAAGCATAATTACTCAGAGGATCTGATCCCACATCCCTGATCTTGCCGTGGATGAGCATAGTTTCAACAGAGCTTTTCTGTGTGCAGGTGCAGGTCTGTGCTACTTTTCCTAAAGCTATTAAGAAGCAGAAGTATTTTGTCCATTTTCCAGTTATTACTCAAAATTAAATGCAATTAATACAGATACTTGTTTCATAGATAATCTGGACCCTGAAATTTGCTATTTCAGCAGCAGCAAAGGTGCCCTCGGGGATCCTCGTGCTGTACTTGGGTGCCGGAGCGCTGACTTACACAAGTGTCCTACAGCCATTAGCGCTCCGTTTACCCAAATTTTCAGGCTCATCATTCAGAAAAACCTCATGTTGAACCCACCATCCACCACAGTGCTACGACATGCCCAAGGTGACCATTATCCATTTCAGAAAAAATAAATAACACCTACAACAACCATCAGATGGGCAACTTCTGAATCAGCGGTTTGCGCTTATCGTCGGAAATTCTGAGGCTGCCCTGATGCAAGCTGAACTGGTGTGCACACAGTAATTACTTTTAACATGATTGAAAGAAGCAAAGTTCGTTAAAAAAAAAAAAAACAAACCTGGTCATCATGGGGTCATTAAACTAGCAAGATATTTGCCATCATTATCCAATTCTTGCTCACGGCATCCATGTAGAGCTACGTCAGGTTTCCGTGGTCAAACGCCAGCCTTTTGCCTTTGTGTTTTCGTCACTGATTTCTGTAATAGATGCCTCATACAAATTTCATGGTTCCCAACTTTTTCAAGCAGCGTTGCAGTGCACAGCCTTCTCTAAAGCCATGGAACCAGCAGGCAAGTAGTCCAAAAGGAATATAAATATTAAAAGAAATGGCCTAGAGCTGCCTCAACACGCTCGATACCGACAAAACTTGCACTGAAGACTTGAAGCCATTTGATCCTGACGCTTCACACCAGAGGAAATGGGAAATTCAGTCAATTTTGCAACTCAACTTACTTTCTTTAAGGAAAAAAACCCCAAATCAGGCATGGCATATGTAAGTAGCATTTTACGTACAGCAGACTTCCAGCCCCAGGAGCTTTATTCCTTTCGAGACAGGGATAAGTAACCTGGCTGCCCCTCCACGTGCTGCGCTCACGCCACGCGGCCGGCTTCTGTACTTCTGTGCAAGGAATTCAGTCGGTGGAATTGTGCTACGAAAAGCTAAGAAATAGGAAAAGAAAGGCAGGAGAGAACCGTTATGGATCCTTAAGTCCCCTGCAAGCTCCCACGGAAGGCTCTCAGGACACGCACCAGAACCCGATCCCGCTCCAGAGGATCTGTTTGTCGCGGTTCTGTTTTCCCTGCCACGTCTAAAGCTCCGCATTCCAGCGGGCGCTGCTCGGGGAAAGCGACCCTCGGCAGCAACGGGCTGCCCGCCACCAAGCTGCCAGCGCCAGGGCACGCGGTGCAGACGCTATTTATAACGCCCACCCCACCTCCACCCAGTATAACACTCACCCCACCTCCACCCAGTATCCCACCACCCCGCCGACTGGACACCATCTTCTCGCAGTCAACCGTTCAGGCAGGGCAACGCTCTTGAACTGGTGTCCCAAAAGTCAAGGGTGGTTTTGGGCGAATATCTGAAAGAACAGTTAATTTTATCAAATTGACCATAAAAATCTGGGTTTAGATAAAAATGAAATGATAAAAATTTCATGAATCATCAAAAACTATTTAATTGAAAGTGGTACAAGCAAATCATGTTTTATATAATAGAAGATTTCATCATATCCTTTTTCTTTTTACTCATATTCCACTTACATTTGCTGAAAAAATAGTTCAAAAATAGACAGCACTAATATATTCACTGAGTATGAACAGACAGCGTTCCGAGTCGGAGCGATGACCCTTCAAAAACGAACCATTTAAAATGGAAATACAAACAATCTCCAGGTTGGCTCCTGCGGCCAATCAATCATCTCACAAAAGGAAGAAAGTTGTCAAAATACACAGAGCAAGTCCAGGTAAACATTTAAAATTTATTAAACTTTTTGGTCAAAATAACTGAACAAGTATGTACAATCCCGCTGCGTTAGCTCTAGTACGTATCTGAGGAACAAGGTCAAATCCAACGCTTCAGTGACCCACAAGTTCCACATTTCGAGATTTTTCAAATAGTGTCACAACCAATATACAGTATAAGAGTTTTTTTTTTTTAATTTAAACTTTATTTGTAGAACTTTGCAGTTAGTTGTAGTTACTAGCTTACTGTGAACAAGAGTGGCACTCGCTGGGCATTAATGGGGAGGGCAGGAACGGAGCCGGTCTGCTCTTGCGTGCGCAGATCCGATTCAGCGATCGGAATACACCTTCACTTTGGGAAAAACGGAGTGTAAACCACGCTTGGGCACTTCCTCGGGGACCTCGTTTTCAGAAGGAATTTCTAATCTGCAGGCACGCTTCCCAGGGTGTAACATCTGGCCACCTGATGCCACCACAACGTGCTGCAGCAGCTTCAGGGACAGTTTCTCACCCAGGCAGGTCTACAGTGAGGAGAAGGTTGATGCAGTTTAGGCCTCTTTTGGAGGAGAAAACAAAAAAGAAAAAAGTACCTAAGGCTTAAAAAAACATTAGCAAGAAGGGATTTACCTCCAGGGCAGTTAACATGAGCAAGACAGGTTTTTTTTTTTGCTGGCTTGAACTGCAATGGGAAATACAATATATTATGCCAAATATTTAAAATAAACTCTATCTTCATGACAAATGCTAAAAAGGTTAAAAAACATAATGCACGTAAGGTATGTCTCTATCTAACGTTGAGAGGCATCAGAAAACCTGAATTTTTACCTTCAAAGAAGAAAATCTGTTGTTCAGTGTTTTGTTTTCCCTTCTGTGCAAGGTGGTCACTTTCTGTTAAGGCTGTGGATGTCTGACCAACCTTTTCGGTCTCCCACTTGGTACACAGATAGCATTTCACAAGAAAACCAGTGCAACTTAAACTAAATGACAATTTCATGGAAACTCTAAATTTAGAACTCGAAATATTACACAAAAAGGTTTGTATTAGTCTGCCAAAAATGAACGTCTGGGGGCAAACACTGTCAAATCTGCCCGTCAGAATTATTTTGCACCATCTCAGTACATGCATTAAAAAAATAAAAAGACTGAATACATACCTTCAGATTTAAAAACACTTTTTATAGTTTGTTATTTTATTAAGTGGTTTACACCAGAAGGTGCGGTTATAGATACAGTTGGTGAGTAAATATTCATGGAAACCTGGCTAAGAACCCAACTCAAGACCTACCTAAGTGCTCAAAGGTCCAAACACCCAATTCCAGGAGGAATGTTTACAGGCATTAAGCACAATATATGTTTCGAAAGGCCCAAATATTACAGCAGAGAAAGAGCGCGAGAGAGAGAAATTACATTTTTATGACAATTTTTCTTCTTGGGTGTTAAATTTTTGGTCTATAAACTGGAAAGGAAGGCTCAGACTTCAATACATACATTTGTTTGGAGTATTGGCCTCATTGAGCACCGCCCATCAGTTCTGCCTCGAGAGGGTTTCTCCCAGAAAACTGCGGCTGACGCTCCCTACCCCCGCTGCCGGCAGAACTACACCGGGAACTCAAAAGCCAGGCCAGACCCTCGCCTTTACCTAGAGGGAAGTAAGTGCAGCAATGTTCTTCACTGGTAGGACAACAAGGCCTTCTCTTTTACAGATAAACAACTGAGCTGAACTATGCAAGACGACGACTCTGTCCTCAGTAAGTCCTCTTTAGTTAATTTTGTCCTGGAATATATACAAGTTATTGGTGGCAGCGACAGCAATGATGTTCTCCATGGGATGCCATGCCGTGTGAAGAATCTTCTTGTTGAAGTCCAGACTGTCAACGCTTATTTCATCCTTCTTTCTCTTACCACCTGTACACACTTTGCGCGGTTTTAAGATGGCACGAGGCTTGCTGCTCTCCCTGGATGCTTCTAGAGTGATATCCCGGCGTGTGTTCCGGTCAAACATTCTAAAGAAGTTGTTGTAAGATCCAGTCATGATAGCACTGTTTAAAAGCAGAAGAAAGGCAAATCTTACCAGGTTTCCAGAAACAGCATCCAACTCCCACCTTCTCTCTCACACACAAAGAGACTGGCAGACCAAGTTCATGGCTAGTACGTGGCACGACACTCCTCTCCGATGCATACCTTTGCTCAATTCTGGTTTTGGACTTCAGCACTGCTTCCACTACTCCATGACCTTCTCTTCCAGGTCCTTCCCTGGTCCCCACCCTCCTGCCACCAGCACTCAGCAGCAGTCTCAGGCTTTGCTCACCCTAATGCGAGCTGAGCGAGATTCCCTGTTCCCTCTATCCCTTTATCCCGTGGCAACCAAGTCCTGGTGGAGGCAAAGCCGCTTGTCTGCTCCATTTCAGCAGACCACCATGAACAGCGGTGCCTCCCTGGCACTGTGCACGTGCTGACCACAAGCACACCAGTGGATTACTGCCGAAAAACCGTCTTGGATCAGGAAAAGAAGCCCCTTGTGTGAGCGTCTGAAACAATTCAGAGCTTCCGTACACTATCAAATTTGCTTTTGACCAAGGCGGAGAAAAATCTGCGTCTGAAAAAGCTTTCATGTATCTGACTTTCAACGGAGAGCTGGTTTCTAGAGCTCTCCAAAACATGCTTGAATTGAGGCCCAAGGGTTTGTTATTTTCCGTACCGAACACTTCTCTCGACTGCTCGGAACTGGAAACGCTGTTTCCCGCATGGCAGAAGTCACACAGATCATTACAACTGCCACCACCTCAGCCTGGCCATCTCATTTACTGATCCACGCTGATCAGAAAACTAACGGCTGGGAGAAGAGTGAGATTCTGCTACCACAGCCTACACCACTCAGACTGTACTAGGGAGTGCACCGAGTGAAATTTTTTTAATTTTTCCAAGGGAGGTGAGCATCACAACTTCCACAACTTAAGTTCTTCTAGTACGTTCAAACGATCCTGCTTTGGCTCCCCCCACCCTCCAAAGGGATTGACTGGAGTTGCTTGAAAAGAAACATGGAAATAAGGGTCAGTTCTTCGTGTTTTAGCATAGTGAAAAGCACACACCACTTTTCCTATGCATTTTACGTTAGATATTGTAAATACTTCTAGCACTTTTTTTGTAAACTGACTGACACAGTATCATCTCTCCCCTCAGTAACTCAAAGCCACCTGCAACCTGGTATTTAGGGTAACCAATTTCTTTAATGTCCTTCACTTAAAGCAGTACGTAAGCGGCACGTAGCAGCACATGCGTGTCAGCAGGTTACACTTTCTTTGCTGACTCCTGGACACAGCTTTGGAGAAGCTACTTCCTTGATCACTGTCTCCATCTAAACTACGTGGTGGATCTTTTGTTCTTCAATATTTCACAGATTTAGGCCAAAGCTTGTTTCACAGGCTGATCCTGTTTACCATCAAATCAAAACTAAGATCTTTTAATTGACCAGCTTGCAAGCAGTTGGTAGCAGACAAGTCACTGGTTTAGGTATTTCAGATAGACTCATAAATCTACAAAAAAAAAAAAAAAAAAAAAAAAAAAAAAAAAAAAAAAGAATCCCCAAGGTAAGCCAACACAAAGCATCCAGACAGAAGATTCAGATCTGCCACGATCTCCTCCATGGCTTCTGAAAGCACTTTTAACAGGTAGCCGGAATTACCACAGCTAGTGACAGGAAACATACAGCATTTGTGCCAGTAGGGTGGCTTTGCTATCTGACTGTAACGCTACACAACTCGCAGGCAAGACCCATTTCCACTGGTTGCAACAAATATGAGTAAAAAAAAAAATAAAAAATTAGATAATTAATCTTCTTTAGCCTACAGAAACCACAGAGAAAAGATTCAGTTTGCAAGACACTGGATGCACATCCTTGCATACACTTTAAGAACGAAAGTCCCGTTTCCATGGCTTGAAACGGCCAGTCTTGACTACATAAAGCTTCAACAGTAATTCATATTAGAAGCAAACTGGCACACAGAAGTTTATTCCACTTCTACATCTGGAGGGTGGAGGATTGAAGACCAAAGTCTCTTTGCAAAAAAATCGCCAGTTGATTGGAACATAACTAATTACATCCTTAAAGTTAAGTACTGCTTATAGTTTTCAAGACTGGAAATCGAATTCCTAAAGTTAAGGGAAAACCAAAAAACCCAAACCAACCCCTCAACTTACCTATCGGAACCGTTCCAGCAGCACTCGAATTTGTCGAAGATGCAGTCGTTTTCATAGAGGGAACAAAGCTTGCTTCGAAGATACTCATGAACCTTTTTGGAACATTTAAATTGGTATTAGATGCAAAGAAAAAGAAGCAAAAGGAAAAGAAGGGATATTTAAGAAAACGTGAACACCATACTTGATATGTCTCTACAGGCCTGTTCTCCATATTGAGATCCCACACTTTAACAGACAGGTAGTCTCTTGTCATCATGTATCGACCGCTGTGACTGAATTTTACATCAGATATCGATGATATTATTTCTGAAAAAAATGATCTGCTGCTAGGATCTTCAGGTTCTTCAAAAACTGCAGACAGAAGACACAATTACAAATGAAATCAACACCAAGTTTTACAGCCTCAAACACTTTTCGGTACTTGGAAAATTTTAAGCCAATATACTAGTTTCTTTAAAAAGAAAGTTGCTTTTAAATACTTTTTAGAAATATTCTCTTTTGAAACAATGTTACACTCTTGGCCATCAGACTGCTAGATGCCTATCTCCAACATCCTCAACTGGAGCACAGCACCAGCAAACTACAGTTCACAGGTTTCTGGGATGAAACTGAGAAAAACGTCAAAAACCAGCACGTGGGTAAACAGTAAACATCTCAACTGATCTGCAAATCCTGTTGAACAAGGGCAGACGAACACACCAGCATCCCAAACACAATTATCCTAATGCGTTTCGAGTACTGTACAACAAACTGTTCCTTAGATGTAACAGAAGTTGTACAACACAACCCACTGAAATACCAGTATCTACACTCGAAGTGTAGATGGTTTTAGAAAGTGGGTAAAGAAATGTGCTATTTAATTTCTAGAGCCAATCTTTGAAGTCAACGTTTCATGACACGAGCTATCCGTAACTATTTCGATTTTGAACAGGCTCCTTTCAACAGAACGTTAGTCAGCGACAAGCAGTTGAAAAATCAAGCCCTAAGAAGTAATTTAGTGCAACACCGTGTCTCACAGACGAAGCGGTCTAGCGTCCTACATCTCCCATTGCACAAGTACTTCCTTCCACCAACTAGAAAGCCTCGTCTGCCCTACAGAAAGCTTACCTGCAAATACCAGTCTGGCAGGTCACCCCCCAGGACCAGTAACACTAATGAACTGCAGCTACTGCAGTAGTGAACAAGGGGCTGCGTGCAAGGCACAGGCAGTCATCCTCAGGACTTGAATGGAAAAGCCTTCCTCACCTACATAAGGTAACATGGCTCAGCAGACTAAAGAATTCACCTTCCAACCCTGGAAACTCGCCTCAAACAGCACGTATTCCTAAGAATTAATTCTATCCTAGGAGCTGCAAACGGTCACGACGAAAATGGATTCTGGCAGCATCAGCCCATTTTCTAATGCGCAAAGGTGAACAAACTGCCCTGAACTGGCATTTGATAAGCAGATACCTTTGAGAAGCACCAAGACTGAGTCTGGACAGAAGACAGGTCTCACTGGTGCCAAAAGCACTTGTTCCCATCAGTTTATGGTGCATAAATGGGTAAACAGGAGCAGAGTCAGATCGTCAATTGTCTCATGCTACACTTCTGCTTGTTGATGGCCTAGAACAAGACAATTAAAATGTTCCATTCTACAAAACTACCACCCCTTACCTTGTATGCCCTTTCCCAGTAAGCAGAACTCGGTGTGGTTATAAGCAGGACACCTGTACACTCTCATCTTGCAGGGAAACAAAGCAAGCAGCCCCTAAGGCAGCGCCGCATCCCAACTTACATTTGGAGTGCCGATCGCAGAGCGCCGAGGAGCGCATGTCGCAGAGCCGGATGGTTCCTTTGCTGCTGCTGTAGACGAACACGTTGCAGTGGTGAGGGTGGAACTCGGCGGCAGTGATCACCTCTGTCAGCTCCTCCATGTTAGCAGGCTTAATATCTACAATATCTGGGAAGGGGTTTGTAAAGGCATGCAACTTTTCACATTCAAAACTATTAAAAAATGCTAGAAATATCATGTGGAAAACCAAGGCAAGATGTGAATTTTCACCGTGTGCATAAAGTGACGTGACCTGGCCAGATTAACAAAAAACAAACCAAACCAAAACCAACAAAAATATCTAAATTTTACAAATCAACCTCAACAGATGCTGGAGATAATTTCAGACTCCCCTCAAGCCTCCTCCTTAGCGCTTCCCATGGAGCACTGAATCCACCTCATCTATTTACCTAAAGCTTTAGAAAACGTGACCTATTTACTATTCCATATTTCTGCAACTTTGATTTCACTGCAGATCTGTCAATGTAGGACATACTACCAGTTTTGGATACACACGCTTGCAAAAAGATTTGGAAATTATTTCTGCAGTTAATGATATCATTTGACATGGAAAAAAAATTGAAATTTGTTTTCTTTAAGAGAAGTGTCACTTAGACAGTTAAGAGACCTTAAACTTTGGAAAGAAGCATCTATGGTAACAAAGAATCTGCTTTACAAATCTTTTAACTCATATTTAAGCCAACTGAACTCCACAAATGCTCCCAAAATTCCTCAATTTCTCTTTAGAAATCAAACTACCTATGATACTTATACTGGCATTTTTCCATTGCAAGAATTGCTTGCACTCAGGAATGCACGAGAGCATCATAAGGCTGCTTCCACTGTATTAAACCTCCAGGTTCTGAGATCCTGTATTTAATCCCTAGACTGAAACACCCACTCTAATTAGTAAAATTAAAGTGATTCTCAAACATACACAAATTAGATGTGCCCTAGTGTTTACAGAGAACAAGAAAAGGATACTAAAACTTCTATCTGTGATTTCTAAATGCCATAGGTTAATTCTTAGGTCATCTGCAGAAAGGTATGTTTCATGATCACTATTTACTGAAATAGAGTTTATGTGATAAGTATGTGCATTTGCAAATATCCTTCTGGGACTCGCTTCTACCATTAGGTCCATGGGTTTCAATATTGGCACCTGGAACATGAAAAAGAACAGTCAGTTTTGGCACAAAGTTGATTCCTGATTCAGAAGATACTAAATAATTGCACACTACAGGTTTCTGTTTTGATGTAGTGACTGAACACTTTTCAAACCCACCCAGCAAGAACAGTAACAAACAGCCTGCGAGTGCCGACTTGCACACCACCAACACAGACCTCAGACACTGGCTTCTGGCAGAAGTTACCTGCCAAGTAACAGCAGCTTCGTACCTCATCCTACAGGAAAAGGGTGTGTGCTTAGAACGATGTTTGGAGATTATGTACATCTGAAATGACCCTCAGATCTCGGAGGTGTGCTTGGGAAACTGGTGGGAACAGTTTGCAAAGGAAACCCCCAGCTTGTTCACTCAATGGTCAGTACGGTTTCGGGAACACATGGGTGCCCGGTTTCCACAACCAGCTGATCTGGAAGGTGATGTGGTTTGTCCGGGTCAAACGGACTACGCCTCTCTCCAGCTCCTCCTCCTCCTCACTGACTGGCACGTGCACAGCTGCCGGCTGCCCTGGGACGTCCTGTGCTGTTCCAGTACATACAATGCAGCAGAACACCAGCTTACATCATCCAACCAAAAAAAAAGTGTGACAGTGTCCAAGATAATCTGTCTTCTTGGAACAAGAGAAATTAATCCAAGAGCTCTGTAATCACTTTCACCATGTCTGTATCTCACAGTCTGTTTACATCAAACTGTAATGATTAAAATTAATCCATTACTTTTTATTAGGCAATTTTCCTATCTCACCACGAGTGTTCCTAGCCCAGTTGTGAAATGGAAAATGCATCAATGTGAATTAGCAGGAAAGGTACTTCGAAATGCCACGGTCTCTATGCAAAGGATACAGCTCCGAAGCGCTGCTGCTCCTCCGTGTCTACTGCTTTACAAACAAATGGGGATTTGTTTCTGTAACAAAACGTGCACAAAGCCCGCGAAAGCCCGAGGTACACATACTCCAGATCCCTAAAACCTGATCGTTATAACACCTGCAGCAACTCTGGGCAAGGTTTTTTCCCCTTCTGCCAACTGTGGCTCAGACTGGGTTCATTCCATAGAATCATAGAATGGTTAGGGTTGGAAGGGACCTCAAAGATCATCTAGTTCCAACCCCCCTGCCATGGGCAGGGAAATTCTCCACTACACCAGGTTGCCCAAAGCCTCATCCAACCTGGCCTTGAACACTGCCAGGGATGGGGCATCCACAACTTCTCTGGGCAACCTGTTCATCTCCTCTTGTCAGACGGAGTGCCTGGCAAGGCCTGCAACTCGGCCCAACTTTCCTTTCCCAAAACACAGCAAATTTAGATGGCCAACTTCTAAGAGAGAGGTTCTTGCTTTCTGTTGCTTCCACCGTTCAGCTGGATGACTCCTGAATATATTACAGTGTTTAAAGGTTATGCAAATGTGCCCCTTCAGTGATACAGCCACCATCTTCTCAAACACTGGACTCTCCGTGCTCCCGGATGGGGAGTCTACTCCTACATAAGGGCAATGTTGTAGAACCCAGAATTTCATCTGTACCTACTTCCAGCCGCCGGGCTAAGGCACTGCATTGCGATTTATTTCCTTGGGTTTAGATATTTTCATTAGAACACTCCATCAGGTCTTGGCTTCCACATGCTGAGTAGAAAGACACTTTCCAGAGGAAGCGGATGTCCTTTCCCGACGTGAGTATGCACTAGGCTCATGTACACCTAAAGCTTCAGTTCAATACTCAATTCAAGCAAAGGCAAGGCAAAAACCCCAACAGAACTCCACAACTGTATAGTCCTACAAATGTCAGTAGTGTGTCGGCTTTGGAAGGAGAGAAAACCTCAGTTCAATTCCTATTTATGGTAACAACAACACTACAAACCACAACCCCATGTTGTTTCATTTCCTGAGCTCCTGCTTTAAACGATCTCAAGTTTGGAGTGCTAATCCCTATGCAAGTGGAAGAATGTCGAGGCTATTCAAATACACGTTTGCCAAACACTCAGAACTTGCCTCTAACAAAAACCATAGAATACCCAGCACCCTGTTTAAATTCTTGAGCTTGTTCTTAGAAAAAAGGTTGAACAAGTTCAATATAAGCAATATTGGGGTGGGGGGTACGGAATTATCAATACAATCAAAGCGAAATTCTTCCTGAATTCACAATGGCACATGCTTTAAGCCAAACAAAAGGACGTTCCTGCCAGTTTCAACCTGGGCACCCACTACTCTTTCCTAGTGAGTGGCACAGATACTCCAGCACTGTCCTCTACTGACTGGTCGTGGGCAGGAAGAGAAGTTGGTATTTCACAGGCCTCCAAAGTAAATCTGTTCCCTGTGTTTTTCTCCATGCAGCACTAGAACGTGAGACTATTTTAAGAACACAGCACGATGAGCCCATGCCTTCTATGACCTGAGTACAAAGTAGCACAGCCACAGGCAGAGATACTAAAAAATGCTGTATTTCAGGCTTGGATGACAACGCTTTATTGTATTTTATTGCTTTCAATAAACCAGTGTATTTTTTTCTACAATTTGAATATACTGAGGTAGATGGAGGCTGTCTCTAACAAAATATTTTATTTTAATTTAAAAAAAAAAGTTTAAATTTTGAATCAATTTTAAATATGCCAAGATGTTCCAAGAAAAAAAAACAAAACAACAACAGCAAACTATTGGGAAGCTAATAATATAATATTATAATCACGAAAGTTTGCCTTGAGTTTTCCAGAGGAACCCTATTTAATATTACTTACGTATAATGAAGTGTTTCCAATTTTTATGACAGTTTTCAATAACCCTGAGCAAAGCATCATTTTTAATCTACACATTTCAGTTGACAACTTTGGTAGTACAAAGGCAGAGAAATACGTGCAAAAAGATATTTAAAGTCAAAGAGCAGAAACATACCCGTAGTGCTGTGATTCGGAAAGGATCCCTAAGTCTTCCATCTTCATCTTTTAAATTATAACCTTCGGCTCTTTTATCCCTTTCACTTATTTTCCATAATTTAATAGTTTTATCTAAAACCAACAAAAAGTCACATGCTTGAGAATGAATTAAATTCCAAATACAATCACTAAATAATGGAGTCAGCAGAGTGGATATTATTTACCCATTTAGGTGTGCACTGCTTGCAACAAAAGGACCCTGAAGGAGCCCTTTAAACAGCCGAGTAATACAGAGTACAGCCTCCCTTTGCATGGCAGAAGTACTTTGCCTTCCAGCTATATGGTTTAGCAGAACTGACACATGAAAAACGAATAAAAAATATGCCAGACACATGCACTTGGAGGGTGTGGATGGGAAATGCATGAAAATATCAGTAAACAGAGAGGAAAAAGAAGATAGATTCCATTTTAACTCCAATGTAATGGTCAGTTTGAGCAAAAGACAAATGTCTGTCTGGCCCTACATCTGCCATTCACCAGAATGACCCTTCACAAGGGATGTTTCACACATCAATTACCAAAATTCACCAATAAGCCCTGTATGACCATTTAAATTATTTTTTTAATGCTAGGGAAAAAAAACAAACCACCCATGAATTACTTACACTAACTACCCTAAGGAAAACCAAGTTTGTCCCAGGAGTCTGCTAAGAGACAACCAAAGGCACTACGTGAGAACAGGACTTGCCCCATTTAGGGTTCCACGTCCAAAGGCATTTACTTCCCGGGTCTTACTAGAAGTCTTCCCAAGTAAGTAAGTACGTACACACCAAAAGTGAGATCCTTAGCTAACTGGAAACAAATCTCTCCTCCCCACACTGCCGCATATCTTTAAAGCACCGAAGATGACACAGTTCAGAAATTGCTTTAAGTTTAGTAAGACTTGTATCAAAGAAAGATTATTTGAATTTCAAAATCCAGTAGGCAGAAGTCATTCCTGTTTTTAAAACTTTGTATGTAAGGGCTGATACCCCACCTGCTATAAAGTCATTTAAACAAAAGGCAGAAGTGATCCAAACTGTCAGGAACAAGCAAATTCCTCTGACAGTAAGTTTTTCCACGCACAGCTCTGCATGTACATTTACAGCTTGCTCCACGATGCACCAAAGTGAGACAGACCCGATAACCACTACTAAAATACTGGAAGAAATTAAAAAAAAAAAAAACAACAAAGCGCACGAAAACTCTTGGTTTCCAACTTGTAATTTTTTTGCACTGCTTTTATGTATTCTAAGGTGCACAGTAAAAATGGTTTAAATTCACTCCTCCTAGAGGGACTCTCTGAAACAGCTGCTTTTCAGAGCACACATCATGTTTTGGTATTGGAAAAGCAAAAAGAGCACTGCAGCCACAGCGTTTCAACTCCAAATGCTTTCATTAAAAATTCATCCGGGTTGATAAAAAAATTCCATTGAGACATTCGGATGATCAAGTCAAATTCCGACTCCCGCTACAGTTCAGCATACTGGGAATCTCCATACAAAAAGTATGGAGCAGAGTAACGGCCAGTACATCCTGAGACGGCAGCTCCGACTGTGCCTGTTCTGCTGCTTCATTCTTTTTACGTTCGTAAATCAGTAATTTTCAGAGCATTACGATCAAAATGTATTTGCATATAATTAGAGAAGACATTAAAACAACCCCAAAACACTGCAGAAAAACCACCCCCCAAGTGGACCACAGGCGAGATAATATTCAAATGACATCAACAAATCTTTGTGCAAAAATAAAGTGTCCTTACCATTTGTAGACAGCAGGAAGTGAGCAGCATTCTGTTGTGGTAACCACCTAATTTTATTAATTTTTTCCTCAATTTCTAGACTTTTCAAGTAGTCAAACTCGGGTTCGTGACTCTGAAAGGTACTGTAAACATTATATTCTCCCCTAGAATGAGGACGGCTTTTGTTCTGCAAGGAAACACAACATTTCTTGAAGCTGATGTCACTTGGTTTGTTAGGAACTGTACACACAAACGACTAAAAATTGTTAATTAGAAAGCAAACAACAGATCTTGACGAGTTTTACATTTTTATTCTAGGATCCTGTATCTAGTTGAGCACTAACACAGTGCACACAGACTTCCTTTTCCAAAATGCATCCTTACATGTCAATATGTGTGCACTTACAGGACACACGAAAGCACTTGGAAGAGGCACGCTATCCGCCACGGAGTTCCTGGGTCTGCCTGGAAGCGTCCTAGGCTATGCTCCCTTTCCCAAGTGGTCTCAATGGAACTAGAGCAGAGAAGTTAGCTGTGTCCTAAATCCCAAAGCCCAACTCCATGGGATCAGTTTCTGCACTTCACCTAACCTCCATTCTTGTCCTTTTCCAAAACTCATTCATTTAATCACCACAATATGGACACAGCATGGGGTTTCCAGACTAGGATATAAGTGTCAAAGGACACAGGACACGGAGAAACTAAATGTGTTTTTTATAAACACACAATTGCACAAAGCCATCCAGCTGAAGGTACGGCAGGACCACATACAAGCATCAGGACTAGCTCCATTCCGACTCCTCTGAAAACACGCTGTATCCAGAAGTGGTCTCAAGGCTTTGACAGCCTTTTTTATTCTAAAATCTTGAAGGCTGGAATTGCATTTTCATCTAAGCCATTCTGCAGTGCATCATGACGTACCAAAGACTGTTACACAAACAACTTCTCCCCTCACAGAAGGAGAAGACCCCTTTTGTATGACCCTCACCTGGCAGACATGGTAGCAAGGAACAGATTGAAGCCCCGAGTAGCCACGGATTTGCAATGTTGGATTTGAAGCAACCAGTGATCAGGCTTTGCAAGTAAGTTAACGTTAGATAGTGACTCGTCTTTGGAGACCAGCCCCGCTTGGAGAGCGGCAGTGCTCCAGAAATTCTGCAGTTTTGTACACAACAAGAAATGACCCTTATGCCCAGCTCTTCCCCACAGTTCGCATGTGCTCCCACGAAGACACTTGAACATTCCTGTGTGAATAGGCTGACTGGTTTTTTGTTGTTGTTGTTGTTGTTTTTGTTTGGTTGGTTGTTTTTTTGTTTGTTTGTTTGTCTCACACTGTAAGGAAATGAGGTGACAGCTGGGTTTTGACTTACAGAACAACTGAGCACTAACAGCTGAAAGCCAACCAATAATAGTTCCCCTCTAAACTAGCACCAGGAAAGTCAGAGATCCTGAGCAGGGGAGCACTTTTGACCTTGGTCTCTCTGTGCCTTAGTTAAGTCTCTACAGCAGGCTAAATGATAAATGAGCTCTGAGCTGTCTAGGTGCAGTGGTGTAACATTTCAGCAGCTTTTTCTGCAATAGTGTTTTCATCTCACTACCTCTCAAAATCCTCACAGTAAAACCGGTAAGTCACCTTTGGTAAAACGTTCTAGAAATTGTGATTTGGTGAGGACGAAATGCAAAATATTGGATGGCTGCTCATTATCTGAGCATCATTTGAACCACAGAAGAAGTGAGATTCTGCCGAAAAAAAACCCACAGCACCTAAAGATTAGCATACTTCATGCACAAAAAAGTTGTATTAGAACGTCACAATTAATTTTGGTATTTCTGATCCAGGACAAGGCTCAAATTCTCATCAGCTCTTCAAAGGGAAAGACAAACATGCTCTGTGGTGGCAGGGAGAGGGTGAGAATTGCTGAGAGGGTCAGTAATACTGACTTTTTAAAGAACACAATTCCAGATTTCTCCCAGACATGACAAGGCATGACAATTAGTTTTCAGCATGTAGTGCACTTTTCCAATACACGCTATTTCCCCAGACAGCAAAAGCTCAGTGATGTCACTGCACTGATGAATGGACAGAATGTGTTACAGCATTATCCCACAACTGAATACCACTGACACCGAGCACACTAGGCACATATAAAAAGAACTAATCATACTTCTGACACTTTTTTCTTTTTTGAAAGTAGGGAGGGGAACCACCACCAAACTAACCTACCAAGTTCAGCACGAGGCAGGTATTCGGAAATTTGGTGAACTTAAGGTTTTCTGAGAAAACGATCCAACCATTGAAACCTCATGGCATGAAAAGGTGAAGTGAGACTGTGCAACACGAGAACAGTGTAGTAACAGCACTTTTGTTTTTCAAGGCACTGACCTCTTGTTCCCTTTGAAATATAACCACTCTGCCACCTTTGTCTCCTGTTGCAAGAAGATCACCAGAGTAATTAAATTCAACTGTTGAAATAATATCAGCTGTGAACAGAACAGAAATAAAATAGCACTGTAATGTGTAAAGCAATTCAAGATGTTTCAAAATTTGATCACAACACAAAATTACAACTTGTATTAATGCAACAGCACAACTTCTTGATTTACATCATCGGTATCCAGAAATTAAATGATGTTTCAAAATCTACCAAAGTTTTATTTTCAATCTAAAACATTTCCTCATTTCTCAGTTTCATCCCTAAAAGAGAAGGCATGTTGTTTTAGGAATCCAAACTACGTATTCTACCCGTTGGCAGTAAATGCTGAAATACATGAGGGAGATGCGCCTGCACAGAGCTTCCAAAAGTAAGAATCATATCCCCAAGTGGCTCGTCTTGGAGCAGCACTGCAGCTCGCACCGATCCCAGTGAGGCTGAGGGATTCCTGCCTTTGGCCTGGCCTGAGCCTTCCTGCAGGTAGTTCAGGAACCTGAACTGGGTGTCCCGCCTCTGCCAAAGGGGAAAAGGAAAAAAAAAAGGCAAGAAAATTCTTCCAGTTGAGCTTCCTGAACCAACTCTGTGCAGAAGCACACAACAAACAAGGGGTAAGGATGGCTGCAATGCAAGGAATGGGACGGCAAAGGAAAAGACTGGAGAACCTCCAGTTCAGACTTGCGTGCCCTTGGGACTGAACCTTTAAACCAACCAGTATTTATCCACCACTGAACCCCACAATTCATCTCTGGAGGTGGCAATAAAGAAATAATTGCCATTAAACAATCTCTAGCCAAGGGGCAGAGAGATAAGGGGTTATAAATGTCTGTCACAGGTTTTGGGCATATGGCAACAAAACCAACAGACCGCTCGGCACGAAACTGGAAGTAAACATTTATCCACACTGCTGCTCGTGAGCCATGCAAACATTTCATTATATTATGCAGCTGTAACAACTGTGAGATTTCAAGTATACAATAGCAATTAGTTTCAGAGTTTGCAACTGGAGACTAAATGAAAACTGCTCTCCTGTATCGATTTTGATGTGCTATCTTTTAAACTCTTTTCAATAATCCTGAGCTCTTATGAGGAAGGTGATTAGGAAGTCTAATCAGTTTTCTCAATATATAATTCATATTTCATCTTTTATTGCCCTTGAAACAGTTTTTCCCTAGTGTATAAAGATCATGATTTACCTTCTTTGATTAAAAAAAAAAAAAATTTAAAACAAATATCTTTCTACAGATTCATCCCAGCCTTCAAAATCTCATTACTAACCTAGACAATTACTAAATGTCTATTTTTATATACACCTTTCTTTAAAAGATTCTGAAAAGATTCCATTTTGGTAAAGAACAGGATGATGGGTAATCCCAGACCCTCAACAGACCCAAAATATCTGAACAAACTCCACATCCTTGCTGTACAGATGCAATAAGGAAAACATCCCTCTTTCCTCAGCTGGCCTACTTTAAAAATCCACCGTACTGCCAGTTTCCGAGCCACCTCTTCAGCCTGGCACTCACTCTGCTTGGCGACCCCACCTGCCAGCGTGCTTCCCAACGAGTGACCACCACCTCACCAGTTCCAGTCATCGACTGCAGAGCTCCTGGCAAATCTGACCCTTCTTTGGGACTCCTTTCCAAGTAACTAAGCAGCAAACTCTTTCAGTTTTTCATTACTAACACTGGCAGAATAAAAATTCATCTCCCTATTCTCTTTACACTAATTCCATATTTTGCGGCCAATTTTTGGTACATGGCCATTTGCCTCTTATCAGGCTGTGCAGAAAGTATTGAAAACACACAAACCCCCAAATAATCCTTTTTACAGCACTAAGGAGCTACGTACAGAAAACAGCATATGGTATGAAGATTTCACTAGTGCTAACTGAGCCCTCCCTTTAGAAGTTGCCTTAGAATGATGAGCTTCTAGTAGCACAGATATCTAGACATACATATCTAACACATATCCTTAAGTATATATTTTTTAATTATGTATTTTTATACACACATGTACGTAAATAAAAGACTTAGATTATACAGAGTGGTACAACACGTACACGTTTTGATTTTTCAATCAAAAAACACAAATAGAAAAGCTACGTGTTTCTACTTACCATAAAGCTGCACTTTGTCAAGACTGTACCTACCCGCTGGGCACAGCGACATTTCACTGCACCTCAGTATTTAAACAACAAAAGATCTGCCAACTCGCACGTGAACAGGGCCTCTGCTCCTCTCTTTGAAAGGCTACGGAAAACTCAGATTATTGATACACTAAAAGCAGGTTATTAGCACGTTAATACCTGTTCTTCCTATACTATGAATAAAGGAGACTCCAGAGAGGACGCACGAATGGCTCAGGTGGCTGTGAAAGGACCAGTTTCCAGCGCACCGAGTTCCTGGTGAATCCCCTTCGGACTTTTTACCCCAAGCAAGTCAAAAGAATGTACAGGGTACCTTGTATGTAATTTTAGCCAATTCTTAAAAATACTTTCTATCACAGGTAAGAAAAAAATGCCTACCTGTAATGCTGACACACTATTTCACTTTTCCAAAGCGTGTCACGTTTCCCTGATGTGCTGCCTCATACCTTGCTCGGGTCCTCAGCCAGGCAAGGAATGACTACAGTGTATGGGCTGGTCCACCTAAAGCTTTTTGGGAATTTCAAACTTGGTTCTTTCTTAAGAAAACAAACAAACTCAAACAAGGTCCTTTTGTAACAATCTGTATTTTATATATATATATATATATATATATATGGTAATTGTGAAAATGTTTTAAAGCCAACTCATGCTTCCTGCCTGACAATCATGGGGAAAACAAGATGTATGAGAATTGAGATTCAGTGTCAAAAAAAGAAATCTCTGTGTATGTGCCTAATATTGCTGTTGGGCTTTAATACTGATCCATGATAATTATTTTCACAATCACATGTTTGCTTTGAGCCAAATACATGCCTCAAAGGTGTGAATGTATAAATGATAAGATCATAAGCCATTGCAAATGGCTGGCTAGGAGGTTTTATAGTTACAAATATCAAGTACCATGACCATAAGCAAATAATTTTGTACTAAAATGAGAAAGCTAGTGAACTAGCTGGACATGTAATATTAACTGTTAAATTCTACTCCAAGACTGGCAATAGTGCTAGAATAAAAAAAAAAAAAAAAAAGGAAAAAAAAAATCTCACACATCCCAGTATCACACAATTATACACAGGAAAAAAAGCTCAGGCATTTCAAGAAACACCATGGGAAATCAGTAAACTAAGTGAAAAGAAATGAGCAGATGAAGTAAGCAGTGAATTGACTTGACAGAATAATTTTATGACATTTTCAATACCCTACTTAAACATTAAGTAGCCCTTGAGTTACGAAGATTTATCAGCAGCAAAACTAATATTGCACTAGCACAAAAATCTAAAAGCCATTCTAGCAAGGATCGTTTTTACCCTGTGAGACACCAGTAAACATCCTAGCAGAAAGAAGTGTCTCCTTAACATAGGCAATTATTTTGAACAAGTCACAAAACCCACTCTTCCACTTAGCTTCAGAAAGGGAAAAAGATATTATTAATTTCTCCCATGTACATTATCACACTATTTACCAAAGTATTTGCTTAAAGGACACTATACCCCATTTTTCCTTTAACATGCACGTAAAGCAAACATCATCTGTCTGACACAGCTACTACTTCCTAGCAGTGCTGTCCAGCCAAACACGATCTTGAGTTCCCTTATATTAAAGGGAATGCTAAAACACAGCCACTACCCGAATTCTAGTTTTAAACAAGAAGTACTGGGAGAAGAGGGTAAGCAACATGTAGAGGTAAAATGAAAATGCCTCCCTCTCCTAATTGACTACCAACTGGAAAAAGCAGCTTGAAATTTTAAATCAGCACTAAAACAGTATGTAAAAAAAAAAATAAAAAATCTATAGTCAACATGCCGTATGGAAACAGGTAAGTGGTGGGGGCACATCAGGACAAAAATACAGAAACTTTCTTCAAGTATTTTCTCAGTTAAAAAATTTAGAATATGATGAATCAACTTTTTGTTTGTTTGTTTAACAGCACTAATTTAATTCTTTCATATAGAAGTATGAATTAAAAACAGTTTTCTCTATCGGCATGTTTAATTGAAGCGTATAGATCCCCAAATTAACTCCACCCAGTATCCTCAGCACTATACTAGCTCAAAGCAGGTGAAATAAAAAAAAATAAATTACAAGACTAGAGGTAAACCACAAAATTCATTCCAAACCAATCACTCTGTGTTCTGCTCAACACACTTTACCCATCTACATTTGCTCTCTAACTCCAGGTCAGCTTAAAACTTTTACAAAAAAACAAAGTGAGCCTTTGCATGTTCTTAATCATCACCTTAACTTTGGAATTTAAAAGGTTTTTTATTATACGCCACATCTTTTTTGTTATGTGTACAAGCTCTAGTTATTTCCCCCGTGCAGTATTTCAGCCTTTTCTCCATGCTGGCAAAATAACTCCCAATGAAACGTACAAAAGGGCGAGGAAAGACAAACCATTATGTTTGCTCCTGGACAGCACCCTAATGCACTCTCTTCATACACGAGACGCTTCTGTGATTATGACTTTCCAGAAACAAGAGATGTTTGTCCAACTTCCCCCCATTTTTGGCCCAGCGTGGCCAGAAGCCTCTGTTCTGCACGCACCCACGTAAACTCTCCCCTGTAAACTATGGAGAGCAGCAACATCTATGGCTTTACAATAAGATATTAGTCTGGCATATTTGTTTCTTTCCAAACATGAAAAATCAATGCTTAGCTTCACTTTTGGAAAGGTCTAACTTAATTACAGTCTACACAGAGAGTAGGAAGCTCCCAGCTCTTTCCAAAGCTAGTATATTAAAAGTAGCGTGGGGGAAAATTGCTGGCAACTAAATTACAGTTCTATAGAATCCCCAAATTTAAAAGCATTAAGCACTTCCATGGGTAGTAAACACCCTCCCAACACAAATATCCATCTTTATACTATTCTCAGTGACTCAGGAGACCACTCCGTAAGCCTAGACAGACATTCCAAAATTCAGTATAAATGCTCCAAGCCCTTTAACATCACTGAGCGCTATCAACCTCCCTGTATCACAAAACTCCTGGTGTAATTCTGTTAAAGTTCTACAACCTCCAAAGCCTCCTGGGCCAGTCATATGGGGACGTGGAGGGGACAGGATAACAGAGACCAGCATTTGTTGGGATTCTGAGATGACAGCAAGCTTAGATCTGCAAACGAATTCAATCCCACCAAGGACCCACATGAGGTATCTCTAACTGACACAGGTAATGACGTCTGGGGTGTCTGTTTAGGTAATGGAGAATGCAAAGAGACCCAGAACACCTACATAAGACACCTAAAATTAGCTACCGTAAACTTTTCCTCTCTAAGCCGGCTGCACATTGCCACTTGGGTTAACATCTAAAAACTGAAAACACGCAATTACTTCGTAGCCCATCCAACAGATGATGAATTTGCAGCTGTAGGCCACGCTGAGGACTAACACCAACTAGTGTTGGTTAACAAGCAGCATCGACTTCTCTCTCCTCCTTCTAAACTGTTCAAAGACTTCTGACAAAAGCCCACTCCTCAGACATTTAATGACCCAGGAAGCCAGTCAGTCACTATTTTTGAACACTACCTAAAAAGAAGGCTGCTCCAGCTTCTAGGGGATTTGAGGTTTTTCAGCCATGTAATGGACAACACAGCTTCACATTCAGCACAGACTGACAAAAACATGCGTGTTCGCAGACCTGTCCTGTCCCTCCCCTCGAAAAATATTTTTAATACACAGCACCTTCTTCCATGATCCACCCTACAGGTCCAAAGGATGAAGTGCTCCAAGGACTATTAAAGAGGCTCATGCTTGCAGAGGAAACGACTGGCTCTGGACCAAGGCCAGGCGGCTGGCACAAAAGGCAGGGGAGGCTGCCAGTGGCAACTAAACATAGAAAGAACATTTCTGTGCCTGTAATCAAGATCAAAGGGGACACACCTTTCCCTCCGACACACACTGTTACTCCACAGAGCATTTTATTCCACAGCTGAAGAAAGCTGTGGGGGACGTTGTATGGTCTCCCACAGCTGATGGGCATGAAGCAGAACGTAGAAGGGGCTAAGTGCAGGTTATGCGCTCCGAAATCAGAAGTTGGGATCTCCCTGTGACGCTGTGCTGAACTGTAAGACATGACATCAGAACAAACACAACTCTTGCAACAGTGACAACACACCATTCCGAGGTAGGACTGGTTGGGGAAAAACATGGTCAGGCAGGGCCGGTGCAGGGAATGGCAAGGAACTATTGTTTCAGAGCAACTAGGTGAAGACTCAAAAAAAGTAAAAAAAAAAATACTAAAGGAGCAAGTAGGATTAGCAAAAGAAAAAAGATACACAGAGACCCGTTAGAAGGAACAGAGTAATCAGGGAGAATGAAGAAATTTGGAGGTTAATGCCTGCTAAACAGTAAGTAATAGAAAAAAAATGTTTTGAAAAATATAACTGAATTTGAGCTTAACAAGTCACAGACACACTGGGCCTTAGAACTGCTTGTTACTGGATTTTCAGCAGACTCCCCACACCTCACCAATGGTCCCTATTTGCATCCAGAGGCCTCTGGGGCGGGGAGGGGGAAGCATTTGGTGTGAAGTTTAATGGTTCCTCACATTTGGATCCGCTATGGTTACACCAGGCCACAGCAGAGCTGCTGGCAGGCACCCTGCTTCCCACCACCAGCCCTGCCCTCAGCCTCTGCGTGTCGGGGCAAGCAGGCACTACCAGCCCCAGTTCCTGCAGGCTTCTGACTCCAGCACTGATTTCCAGTCCTCAGCCTCCAGCTTCTCCCTCCTCGTTCCTGTACCTCGCTGGTTTGCTTCCAGGAGAATACGGATGCTCCATACAATGGTCACCAGAACAGTCAATGAAAACAATTGGGATTACTGCGCAATCAGGATGGACCAAGAATGGTATTGCTGCTACTGTCATGCCTAAGCTCTCCTAAAATATTTCCTAAAATATTGTTTCTTAATTTAACTTAATTCTTAGTTTACAGAAATCAGATTTATGTCTCTGAATTATACTGAAATGTGAGCTGAACTCTAAAGCTATTGATAATCACTTGGCAATATACATATACACAGAAG